GTAAATGTCCTCCTTGAGTACGCGGCCGTCCCTGCCTGTGCCATCTATCTCGGAGATATCCACCTTCATCTCTTTGGACAGGTGCCTTACCGCAGGTGTCGCAAGAGTGGCATGTTTCCCCTTGACCTTGGGTGTACCCTGCGTTTCCTGCCCCGCCAACACGGCCACCTGGGCTGCTGCCGTCTCCTCGGCTGCAGAGCGAACTGGTGCCTGTGCGGGTTTCACTTCAGCCTCTTTCCGGGGATCCTCTGGGGGCACTGCTGCCCCGATGTCTTCCGCCTTGACATCCCCCTCGATGTCGATGTCCACAAACGGCTTGCCCACCTTGGCCATCTCGCCAGCATCGTAATGTAGCTTCTTGACAACGCCCGCAAAACGGCTGGTGATCTCAACCGAAGCCTTGTCGCTCTGGACCTCGCATAGCGGCGAGAACTCCTCAACGCGCGCCCCTGGCTCGACGAACCATTGGATGATTTCGCATTCGACAATGCCTAGGGTAGTAGTCGTTAGCTGGGAGCCATCATACAATTGTGTACGGGAGGGAAGCGGAAAATAGAGACGCACCTTCTCCAATGTCAGCGAGTAATACTGGCTTGATTGCGAGGAGTGGCCTTGACGCGTGGAATGCCCGGGCTATTGACGGCGAAAGAGGAGAGTGCCGAGAGATGGAAGAGGTCGGATAGAGGGATGCCCGGGCGCTGGTCGCACGTCGGGTTACTCCTCTGTACAGACGCCATTGCTGGCGCACCGCCCGGGAACTATGGCTCCAGAACATATCGAAAAGGTACGGTAGATATCACCACGTCGTGTTTACGAGCAATCACATTTCTTAGAGTTCAATTGATCTCCCCGCGGGCACATCCCAGGGAAGAGAACACACCGCGGTTCAGGACACGGCGCCATGGCTTGTTACGGCTTATGGCCCTGGTGAATGACGTTGGAAGCCGAGCTGTCCAGGGGGAAAACCAGCCCCGCGGATAACCGAGCCCAGCATCCCCGGACCCGAAGGCGGGGGACCTGGGGATCTGGATGGCTCGCCAATCTCCAGCGGATGAAAGTGGGGCCCCAGACAAGCCGCGTGGGAAATTTCTTGGGGCTCGGGGATGGCGCTCGTCCCAATTCGACCGACATCCGTCTTGTTAGCCGCGACACCTGCCCACCATGATCACGCGGACCGGCATCCGGTCAGGTTCCCGGACTGCAGCTTGTCTCCTTTGCCAATGGCGGTCTTTTAGCATCTCCTATCGCCGGCTGGTCGACAAACCGCCAGCCCCGACCTCCGGACCAGCAAGTCCCAACTCTACCCAACCATCACCCGGCACAGCTCCAGTCAGCCGTGATGCTGCCGCCGCGTCGAGTCCTCTCGCTCATGCGCCCCGGGCGTATGGCAAGAAGCTCAAGGACTTCACGCCAACCCCGCTGGCGAGGCCAATTGGCATGAGCTATTCCCCACAGGAGGGCGAGAACACGGGCGTCGACAACCGCAGCCTCAAACAACGCCACGCCGACTTTACCAACTACGACAAGCACCTGAAGCGTCGAGAAGAGCTGTAAGGCCTACCCCCTTCCCCTCCGTTCCCAACCTCATACCCTCCGCCCGCCCCCAAACCAACCCGCTTCATGCTAACCTCCCCCTTCCACCCCCCACAGCAAAAACAAAATCTCGCGTCCCTACTTCCGCGACTGGCGCAATCTGCAATTCCACCAAGGCAAGACCTTCCTGTCCCCGCCGCGGCCCTTCCGCGCCGACCTCTCGCTGTACTTCCCCAACCTGCACGGGCGCACGCTCGCCGCGCCCGCCGCCGACACGACCCCCCTGCTCGAGGGCCGCGCCTCGGTCGTCTCCGTCTTCAGCGGCATGTGGGCCGAGGACCAGGCCAAGACCTTCACGGCGCCCGAGCAGAACGCCGCGCTGCACGAGGTGCTAGGCGCCGCGGGGGGGAGGGCGCAGCTGGTGCAGGTGAATGTGGAGGAGGATTTGCTGAAGGGGTGGTTGGTGCGGTTGTTTGCGGGGTCGTTGCGGAGGAAGGTGGGGAGGGAGAATTGGGGACGGTATTTTATGGTGAAGAAGGGGATTACGGATGAGATTCGCGAGTCGATTGGCGTGTTGAATAGTAAGGTTGGGTATACCTACCTGGTGGACCACCAGTGCAGGATACGCTGGGCGGGGAGCGGGTCGGCGGACCCGGGGGAGAGGGAGGGGTTGGTGAAGGGGGTGCAGAGGATACTGAGTGAGATGGAGAAGGAGGGGGTGGGGGAGCACTACGTGAGGAAGATTGTTGCTGCTAAGAAGCCGGAGGCGAAGTGATGAAAACGGAGGTAGGTAGAGAGGTGGTTGTAGGAGTTTGTGTGATACCCCATTTTGTTGTTGTATAAAACACCGCCACTCTTATAGATGTACCATATCGGGGGCTGCTCTAGAATACGGAGGCCGTGTGGTCTCCTGTTGTATTTGCTGGCTTTCACAACGTCCGTTGAGCAGTCTTCCAAAATAAGAACTCCAGACTCCCCTACGCCTCGGCCAAACCATGCGCGCGCCCAAGGAATTATACAGCTTTCTTTCCGCCATGCAGCCTCCCTCAAAGCCTCCTCACCCAATTAATCCTCCCTCCCCATGGATGCCGATGCCGCTCACATAAAAAACCAAAGCAACAAAAAGCACACGGCAATAAACCCGCCCATGATAATCCCATCCCGCCTCTTCTTGGCCGAGATGCGCCCAATCAGGGTATTGATGCCCGGCACCTGGCTCGCGGCGAGGGTGATGCGGCGGTTGATGCTGGCGAGCGTCTCGCGCTGCAGGGCGAAGCTGTCCTGGACGGCGTAGGCCTGGCTTAGCACGCTGTCGGCCACATCGTGGCTGCGGTCCAGCCGCGCCCGCTCCCCCAGCATGTACTCGGCCTCGGCGTCCGCCGGGTTGGCCGCCCGATACGCCGAGATGTCGTCGCGCACGCTGCCCAGCAGGTTGGCGCGGTCGCGCGCCGACTGGAGCGTGGTGCGGAGGCGGGAGAGGTCGCGCCGGTGGTCGGAGAGCTTGTCGCGGAGTAGCGCGAGGTTGTTTTGTTTGAGGGCGGAGGAGGTCAGCGTGGCTTCGGAGTCGAGCAGCCGGCCGAGTTGGGCGATCACGCCTTCGCGCTGTGGTTGAAAGGGAATGTTAGTTCGGGTTGTTGTTGTTGTTCGCCCGGGATCACATGTCAACTCCTTCTCACGTAGGTGGGCTTGCCTTGTCGAGTAGCTCTTGGACCTTGGCCTCAGCATTCTTCTCCTCTTTTGTCGGTTTTGGGGGGATGGCCGTCTGTGTCGAGAACTGCGAGTATGTTTGAAGCGATGCCTCGGTCTGCGACAAGTGGTCAGCCGCCCTGTTTTGTCCAACTTTGGCCCCCTCGCCTCCAAGCTCTTTACCTGTGATTCTAACGATCGGGCTTGTTGCCTCAGCTGGGCCCAGCCCTGGCCTGCCGTTGTCGCCATGTTGCCTGCAATAACGAGGAACAGGGGGACGGAGCGGGATCCGGCAGCATCCGATCGCTGAAGCTTGAAGTTATGGGTAGCTGGTGTAGTCCAGCCCACCGGTTCTTTTTCTTTGAGAGGTCAGCCCGCGGACCCTGGGCTGTTCGGTGCTGAAAAGGGCCAGGCCAGCTGCAAGGCGATGAATCCAGGGTTAGGGTTGTCTTAGAAGGACATCCGAGCCAACTCTGCCACTAAAATACTGAAATATAAATTGCGGCCCAAATGCTATTATGCACTGGATATGGTTGGAAAAGGATGGCTATGGTAGTGGTATAAAGGCACTTTGCAGCGGATCCCGTTCGACCTGCGCTCTCCCTGACAGCTGATCAGCATGCGGAACCCTGTGGCGGTGCGCTGCATCAGTGATGTTAGATCACACTGGCCGCTGGGGTGTTTCGGAGGGTTGAGCCACATAACCCGGAACTCACTCTCGCCCTCAAGGTGCCCGTTTATCAATGCTGCTCTGGGAGGTGATCAAATGTTTCGGCGTGGGATTTTGTGATATTGAGTTTCATGTGCTCCTTGTTTGCTCTCCTGCTATCCCAGCGGTCTATCCGCACCAGGATCGGAGTTGCCCAGACATGTCTGGTTGTATCTGCCCTGCCATCCACCCAGCGCATTTTCACGTTACCCCATGTACAAATCACCAGTGGCATCCCATTCGCTCTAAAACCCGATTGTTGTTCATGGCTTCGATCCTGTGCAAAGCCCGGTGATTTTGGGATTTTGATGACTGTAAACCCTCATTACAGACGCCGTAATGGACCGAGAACCGTCAAACGTCCAAATGCAATTGGCCAAGCCATAACCGTTAACCGCGCCATCAACCATCCGTCACGCCCACGCCCTGCACCCTCTCTCTACCACTTCATCTCGTGGGGCTTGTCGCCCTTGCGGAGGCTGAAAGAGGTGGCGAGGTAGCTGGCGAGCATGTCGACCTTCTTGATGTTGGCGAGCAGCGCCTTGTCGACGGCCTTCTGGTCGGCCGCCCGGCTGCTAGAGACCTCCTTCTTCTGTGCATCTTGTCAGTCTTGCCCCTCACACACCCGTGGTCCCAGACCCGAAAAAAGTCCGCTCGTACCTGGGGCTTCTCTCCCTGCTTGAAGAACGCCTCCTCGCCGGCCTTCTCCTTGGTCTTCTCCGCGGTGAAGTACTTGGGCTTCGCGATCTCCTCAATCTTGGCCTCGTCGATCCCGGCAAGGTCGACCTTCAGGGATGTGGCGATGACGTATCTCGAGTTGACGCGGCGGAGGGGGACGCCGTTGATCTTGAAGGGCCCGGTGACGAGCAGGACACCCTGGTCGAGGTTCTTGAGGAGGACGACACGCTTGCCGCGGAAGCGGCCGGCGAGCAGAATCAGGACGGTGCCGGGCTGGAGCGAGGAGCGAGGGGCCCACGCGCGGATGGCCTTGCGGACCTGATAACGCACGAAAGTTAGCATCAATTTGCACTCACAACGGGCATCCTGCCGACTCCATCCTCGCCCAAAGTCCTGCCGTGCTCTTGCTGGCCGAATCCCAAACCCGCCGTCCCGCCTCTTGCTTGTTCCCGCTTCCGTTTCCGGATCGCCTCGGTCTGCGCTGCACGCCCCAGACACCCCCGAATCGAATTGGGATTCGAACTCCGCCCAATTTGCCGTCGCCAGGACGCTCACAACACCAAATCTCAGCTCGGAAAATGCATGCATGCACGTACCTTGCGCGGCTTGTCCTCGTCCTCAGCAGGGTACCATTTCTGAGCCCTCTCGGTCGGGTGAGGGACCGACCGAGTCGACTTGCCAAAGGTCTTTGTCGTAGGAGCCGACATCTTGAGCGCTTTGGCTGTTTGGTGGATTAGTAAAATTCGTTGGTCGGTCGTCAACTTGACTTGCTGCTGCTCAAGATTTTGAAATGAGTGAGCCACCGGTTGTGCGCAAGTTCGAAAAGGCCAAACCCCAAGCTAACCGCTTTCGGGATTGCGGCAACATGCTCGCTTGAGCCACAAGGGAGCGCACGGGCCACATTTCGCGGTAGGGTTTTCCGCCCTGGCTAGCATTTTGCGCATCCACACCTCTCAGATTTTGTTAGACGTGCGCCCGCAGGAGAGGCTATCCCCTTCCAACGACCCGAAGCCCCGTCGCTGTCAAAGGAATCGTCGCCCATCGCCCATTTGACTCGACACCGACATATTTCACCATGGTATGTATCCCGTGTCCATCTCTTCAGCGGCTGCGACGATCTCGTTCTTTTCAGCACCCGTAGTCGAACTTTTTACCCCAGCCGCATCATCGAACCGACCGATCTCAAAACTTGCGACTTTTACCGGGCAACTGCTGACCATCATGTCAAAAGTCTACTTCCAAGGTCAAGGCGGGCCAATTGTGGTCCAAGAACAAGGACGAGCTCACCAAGCAGTTGGGTGAGCTCAAGACGGAGCTGGGCCAGCTTCGCATCCAGAAGATCGTGTCCTCGGGCAGCAAGCTCACCAAGATGTACGTCGATTCGGACCCGAACGCGCCCACGGCCGGCCGCCCTGCGAAGGTTTAAAAGTGGGAGGATACTGGCAGCTTTTGGCTGACATGCGTTTTCTTTCCCGAATAGCCACGATATCCGCAAGTCGATCGCCCGCGTCCTCACCGTCATCAACGCGAAGCAACGTGCTCAGCTCCGCCTCTTCTACAAGGACAAGAAGTACCTGCCCCTTGACCTCCGGGCCAAGCAGACTCGTGCCATCCGCCGCCGCCTGTCCCCCGAGGACGCCTCGAGGGTTCTGGAGAAGACCAAGAAGCGCCAAACGCACTTCCCCCAGCGGAAGTTCGCCGTCAAGGTACGACAGATCTGAAGGATGGACAACCGGGAGGAGCAGTCCGGCGGTGTTCAACGACGGAGTGGGCCATGCTGACTGGGTGTTTTAGGCTGCATAAAGGCGTTATCGTGGGTAATGGGATGGTTGTATCTAGGGGCACTTCCGGCGCGGTTATTAAAACATTTGGCACTCGACACATTGCATCATCCCAGGGATTCTGCTTTCAGGGTTTAGGGTGTTATACGAGGTCAATGATTTCTCGGTTCCGGCTTGGTGTCTATACCACTTGCCGAATGAAAGCGCTGCGCTGAACACCCACCCTCAGACCAAGCTCCTGTTGGTGATTCACATCCAATGATGACTGCTGGGGCTGCGTGCTGGCATTTGGGCCTCGACCCTGCCCAGTGATGGATGATTCAGCCCAGTTGTGGACGGGTTTTAGGTCCATTGTCTTTTATACCCCGCCAGATATATGATACAGTTACCCAACGAGACGGGGTGATGGATTGGGCCCCTTTCCAGCCTGTTGTGATATGTCTGGTATGGTATCTCTTACTTTTGCTATAGGCTTTCTTCGCTTCAGGTCGATCTGTCCCTGTTTCTCCGTTGATCTTGATAGGGGATTGAGTGTTCGAGTATTCAAAAGATACGCCCGCAAATCTTCAGGTCATCCAGGGTAGTTATGGTCCTGTAATTCGGACAAGATTGGCTCGTGACCTCCCTTTGTTGATGTTTGAAAAATCTAAACATTAACTAGTGTCAACCCGTCTTATTATTTTATTTTATTTTTTTCAAAAAAATGAAATAAAACCCCCCTCCCTTTTATCCCATGGCTGAATCTCTGGCCCCTCCATTTCTAGCAATTTATTTGGAGTTTTGCCGGGCGGTCAAGCGGCAAGCACGAGGCTGAGTGGGCCCCAAGCTCCAAACAAGCACGCCAAGGCGAACCCCTGGAGCATGATGCAGAAGCTCCAAACTGTCCTCTCCAAACGCCGGTGCTTGCTTGCTTGTCCTTGGGTCAGCCTCCAACTTCAACTGGCGAGAGGCAGCACCACCAACCCTCACAGTAGGCCACCATGTCGGCCGATCCTCTTCACGCTCTCGCCAGCGCGGGCAAGGGGGAGAGCACCCGCGGTTTACTGCGCGTGATCATCCTCGCGCTCATTGCTGGCGCCTCAATTGCTAGTCGACTATTCTCCGTCATTCGTACGTGGCCCTTTTTGGTGATGGTGTAGATGGTGCATCTAGGAGCTGGGTTGTGTCTTGGGAGCTCGGCATCACCATAGCTGCGGCCCGAGATACTCCAATTGCCTAGCGCATCTACAATTAAGTCTCAATGGATGCTAATTAATCCTTTTATGAGTGTAGGGTTCGAAAGTATTATTCACGAATGTCCGTATTTTATCCCTACGCGTCCATTGCCCATTGCCTTCGTCGGGACACTAACGCTTCACCAGTCGACCCCTGGTTCAACTTCCGCGCTACCAAGTACCTCGTTGCGAACGGCTTCTACAATTTCTGGGATTGGTTCGATGACCGGACATGGCATCCTCTCGGTCGTGTCACGGGAGGCACCCTCTACCCGGGCCTCATGGTAACTAGTGGTGCCATCTACCACGCCCTCCGAACCCTCACGATCCCCGTTGATATCCGGAATATCTGCGTCCTCCTTGCGCCCGCCTTCTCGGGCCTTACCGCCATCGCCGCCTACCTCCTTACCAATGAGATGACCCCCTCGTCCTCGGCTGGTCTCCTGGCTGCGCTGTTCATGGGCATTGCCCCTGGCTACATTTCCCGTTCCGTCGCTGGCAGCTACGACAACGAGGCCATTGCCATCTTCCTGCTCGTCTTCACCTTCTACCTCTGGATCAAGGCGCTGAAGCAAGGATCCATGCTGTGGGGTGCCCTCTGCGCCCTCTTCTACGGCTACATGGTGGCCTCCTGGGGTGGTTACGCCTTCATCACCTGCCTGCTTCCCCTGCATTCCTTTGTCCTCATCTGCATGGGACGCTACAGCACTCGCCTCTATGTTGCGTACACGACCTGGTATGCCCTGGGAACACTCGCCAGCATGCAGATTCCCTTCGTTGGTTTCCTGCCAGTCAAGACTAGCGAGCACATGCCCGCGTTGGGTCAGTTGCTAACCCCGCCTCCACATTTCGAAGCTGCGCATGGCTACTAACACAAGGCAGGTATCTTTGGCTTCCTCCAGCTGCTCGCGTTCCTCGACTATGTCCGTTCCGCCATCCCCAGCCGCCAGTTCCAGACTTTCCTCTGGCTCTTTGCCGGTGGAACCTTCGGCATCGGTCTTCTGGGTCTGGTCATTGCGACCAGCGCCGGTGTTATTGCTCCGTGGAGCGGCCGCTTCTACTCGCTCTGGGATACTGGTTACGCCAAGATCCATATCCCCATCATCGCCTCCGTGTCGGAACACCAGCCGACCGCGTGGCCGGCCTTTTTCTTCGACCTCAACATGCTGATCTGGCTGTTCCCCGTTGGTGTTTACCTTTGCTTCCAGCAACTCGCCGACGAGCACGTCTTCATTGTCGTCTATGCTCTGTTCGGTAGCTACTTCGCCGGTGTGATGGTCCGCCTGATGCTCACCCTCACCCCCGTGGTCTGTGTTGCCGCCGCCATTGCCGTGTCGACTCTCCTCGACACCTACCTCAGCACCAAGTCGCCCAAGCCCGAAGAGAGCCAAGCCGCGGAGGGCGCAGAAGGAAAGAAGGGGAAGTCTGGCCTCAAGTCGACAAGCAAGCCTGTGGTGGGCATTTACTCCATTTGGGGCAAGAGCATGATGGTCAGCGCCCTCGCCGTCTACCTTTTGCTGTTCGTTCTGCACTGCACTTGGGTGACGTCGAATGCGTACTCCTCCCCGTCGGTTGTCTTGGCCAGCAGGCTGCCCGACGGAAGCCAGCACATCATCGACGACTACCGTGAGGCGTACCAGTGGCTGCGCCAGAACACTCGCGAAGATGCCAAGATTATGTCGTGGTGGGATTACGGTTACCAGATCGGCGGCATGGCTGACCGCCCGACGCTTGTCGACAACAACACGTGGAACAACACGCACATCGCGACCGTGGGCAAGGCCATGAGCTCGAGCGAGGAGGTCAGCTACCCGATCATGCGCCAACATGAGGTTGACTACGTCCTGGTTGTTTTCGGTGGTCTCCTCGGTTACTCCGGCGACGACATCAACAAGTTCCTGTGGATGGTTCGTATCGCCGAGGGCATCTGGCCCGATGAGGTCAGCGAGCGTTCCTTCTCCCCACCGCGTGGCGAGTACCGTGTGGACGGTGAGGCTACTGAGACCATGAAGAACAGCCTGATGTGAGTATCCCTTGGCACACCGCCCATATCATGCAAGCAGCACTGACAGTATGAATAGGTACAAGATGTCTTACTACAACTACAACACCCTTTTCCCTCCCGGAAAGGCTGTGGACCGTGTGCGGGGTGTCCACCTTCCCGACGTTGGTCCCACAGTCAGCACGATGGAGGAGGCATTTACCAGTGAGAACTGGATCATCCGCATCTACAAGGTCAAGGACCTGGACAACCTTGGCCGCGACCACATGTCGGCAGCGGCGTTTGACCGGGGCCAGAAGAAGAAGAAGGCCACCAAGAAGAGGGGCCCGAGGCTCCTCCGGGTGGAATAAGGGGCTCACTTTAGCGAGGGAGTTTGTGTACAAAGAAAGAAGTATGTTAGAGTTGATTTCCTTTCTTTACTTGCAATATACGGACTGGGAAAAGGAAGCCGGGTTGGCAGTGTACAGCACAAGCACGTTGATTGCGCTACATGGTCCTACGGAGCACCCTGACAGTGACCTCGTCCCACGCCCACGACCACCATGACTGTGAACTTGCCCCGAATCTGTGTCCGATCGGTGCAACGCCGAGTGAAGATGGGGAACTATCAGCGACTACCAAGCGATACAGACGATACTTCCATTCCGACAATACAAGCAAGACATGCGAATACAACCCAAACTTGTTGTTGCTATTGTACAACGCTCATACTCCTTGCCTCCCACGATACTCGCCCTCTCATCACCCAACACCTTTTATCCCACCTCACCCACTTCACCCTCCTCCATCCCATCAACACCACCCGTCGCGTCCCGAAGAGCCGTGCTAGAAACAGTGCAACACCACCACGCTAACCCCTTTTCACACGGCGAGGCAAGATGGGCACACGCGTTCCTGCTGAGCTGCCTTTGCAGCCTACTTTTTCCGTTATTTTGCCCTTCCACAATTCCTCCTGGTGTTCTGCTTCATTTCCTTGCCACCTTTGTTCTCACCACCGCCCTGATTTTGTTTGGTCCACGGATACCGACAGCAGTATAGTCAGTGAGTTTCGACTCAGGGGACACAATATGCATTTCAGCGTGTAAGTTGGTTTTTTTGAAATCAATTTTCTTTCTTATTTTGAACTCTGTCAGTCGGGTGGAAATTGCAACAAAGGGAAGGAGGGGGGTTGCTTCGCGGTGGGATTTCTCAACCTCGTGTTTCCAGACCAACACCAGAGGGATCAACCATTCTTTCTAACAATCCATCGCTAACCACTCTCATCAGAACCAAAGAAGTAGGCTGGGAAGCCGACGACGAGCGAGAGGGCCCCAAGTCCAAACTCGGCGTCAAGAAGCGCTACCGCATCATCCTCGACTTCTCCCGGCGCTCCTCCAGGCGCAGAACCAAAGCCGCCCACCGCAAGGGTCCCCCTCCCGAGTCGGACCTGGACGACGACGACGCCGCCGATCGCTACGAGGATGGCAGCCCCCGCCCGCTCCAGCACTACTGCTACAACTGCGAGGCGCCCCGCTCCATCCACTACCACCAGGACTACCCCCTGCAGCGCGGCAAGACAACCTCCCCGCGGCTCAGCCTCTGCGCGGAATGCCGCGCCCGCCGCAATGCCCGCCTCGCCGCCGCCGAGGACGCCGAGGACTCCCAAGCCGACGACGACAACGACGACGGCGGCAAACCCCGCCCCCACCAACCCCACCACCACCACCACCACCACGAGTACCGCGACGCGGCGGCGGCGCCCGCGGACCTCGAGCCCCGCGGCGACGACCGCGAGTGGTGCGCCAAGTGCGGCACCCTCCGCTCCAACCGCTTCCACGACAAGGTGCTCCTGTCGGGTGGCGCCGCCCGCCTGCCGCCCTGGAAGGAGGTCTGCGGTCGGTGTGTGGTGGGCATGGTGCGGCGCAAGGAGCGTGCGCGTGCGCTGAGGCGCCGGAGGGGGGAGTATAGGGAGGGGGAGGGGGAGGGGGACGGGGATGGAGATGGGGAGAGGTATGACCCGCTGAGGGAGAGCCTTTGGGGGGACTGCCGGAGTCGGCCGTATGTTTTTGGGCCGGGCGAGGTTGGTGGCCGCGAGGGGGATGGTGGTGCGCCTGTCGCGGGTGTGACTGCGGCGTCGGGGGTGCGGGGTGGGTTTGAGCGGGCGGGAGACACGGAGCGCGGCGGGTCGCTCCTCGCTGCGACCGGTGCCTGTGAGGATGCGTCGCGTTCCTCTTTGGGTATGAGCAAGGCCACCGTCGAAAATGCCACGCCGGAAGATGGCCGCGTGGGCGTGCGGGGGGGTTGTCAGGTGCGCCAGGGGGCTGGGGAGAACCGGCAGTCCCAGCAACCTGGTCAGCCAACATATGGGCAGCAAAAGGGCACCCAGACTCGCGAGGAGCCCCGCCTGGCTACGGCCAACAGCACCCTGGGAGGTGCCGAAGCCCCCCAGGAGGGGCGGGAGCTCCGTGATTGCTTCCGGCCTCCGCACTTGGAGAAGCACTTCAAGGAGAAGGTTCGGCCCAAGCCGAGACCTCAAGAGCCTCGCGACAAGCCCATGCCGGCGCCGGCCCCGTCCGCCGCTTCCAGCTCCCAGCAGTACCGGGAGCCCCACGAGATGCGGGAGTATTTCAAGTTCCCCAATCCAATGCAGCCACTCCAGCCGGGCGAGAAACCCGCCACGGCAGCCGAAACCAAGGACTACTTCAGGCTCCCCAACCCAGTGAAGCCACTCGAACCCGGCAAAAAGCCCGCCACGACTACCGAGCCCAAGCAGCGCCGCGATGCAGGCAACCCTCGCTACGAGCGCAACCCGACCCGCCACGGCCACCGGAAGCGCGCGTCCGTGTCGTCCACGAAATCTCCCATGCCCGCAGTCGCGGAGCCGGTCTACTTCAAGGGCCATTTTCCCGCCAAAGCCCAGGCGCAGCAGTCGGAACCGAAGTCGCAGCCGAAGCCGACTCACCCGACCAACCCGTTCTTTAACCGCCGCAAGCCCGAGCCCAAGCCCGAACCCAAGCCGGATGTCCACTTCAACCAACAGTCGCAACAGCAACAGCAAAAACAGCGCCACCACGAACAGGCGCGGGAGCAGGAGCGGCCGCAGCGCCAGCAGCGCCAGCAGCAGGAACAACAAGCCCCGCCTCCCCGGCCCATGGGCATCTCCGACATGTACTGGTCTTCAGCGTACGGCCAGGCCGAAAAAACCTACGCAGCAGCCGCTTTCTTCTTCCCCGGCGCAGCATCTGCGCACGACGGTGGTGCGACCGAGGACGGGGCCGATCGCTACCGCTCAGCCGCCACCGGTAGCAATAATAGCAGCCATAATGGCGACAATGGTAACAGCGCCCGCCACCGCCGCCACAGCCACCGCCACCGCCCCGCTGAGGACACCGTAGAACATGCCACAGAGCACGCCGCCGCCGGTGCCGAGATGCCCGACTTCGGCCACGTCTTCCGCGCGTCGATGGGCCACAGGGCTGGTGCCGCTAAGGCAGAGGCAAATGCGGCGGATTTCGATGGCGATGATAACCAGATTTGGGAGGTTGATTCGGATGAGGCGGAGGAGATTGAGGAGGTGCATGCGCGGATGTTTTGTTGAGGGTGGTTAGTAGTAGTGGTCGTACAGTGTGTGTGCCTGCCCTACACGCCGTGGCTGTGACAAAGAGAACGTGTCGAAGTCCGCTCGATAACCACGCTCTTCTTAGGCGGCTGCCACGAGGATTTCTGGCTGCGGTTGGGCGCCGCTTTGGATCTCGTTGGGTTTTGTGCTTGTCCATTTCCGCGCCGCTTTGGGGTGGGCGATGGGATGATGATGATGGTGATGATGAGCTGAGAAATGGGGGTGGGGGGAATGGGTAAAGGTTGTTATGGGAGAGTGGTGAGGGAAGGATGATGGTGATGGTGGGTTTGTTGACGGTAGGGGTGTTTATTCGGTTGGCTGAGAATTTGGGGAGGTTGTTTGGGAGGAAAAGGGGGACTATGGAGGGGAGGCGTTGCTTGTTTTCGGCACTTGGGGGGTTTTCTCTCGGCTTTACTGAATCAGCATCAGTACGTGTGATGCCGTATCTGCAAGATATTGGGCGTTTACACCGCACGAGAGAGGTATTCTGTAATTCGTTGTATTTGTTTCTCCGGCAGGACTCAAGAGGAGGATCGCGAGCAGTGATTGCACGGTAACTGCTCGGTGCGAGAATCTCAGAGTCAGTCGATAGTCAAGGTTAAATCAGATAGGTACAATAATCACAAAACAGGTCTGACCCTAACGGATTTCTTCATGTGGATGTGTATTGTATGGATGGATGTCTTCCCCATTTACGCTGACGCCTAGATCGCTAATCCCAACCCCCCTACCCCCGAACAACGTTTTGCGTTCCAAGACAAACAGACAACTAATCAAGGAAAATCCAAGGTGAACAATCCCCCACCGCCCCATGACATCCGTCATCCCAGACCATTAGATGTCGAAGCAGCCGAGCGCCGCAACAACTCGCTGCTGCAACTCTCATCTAGGCACGTCTCCGTCAGCGCCATGCTTTTTTGTCTTCGCCCGTCTGTCTGTCTGTAAAATGTGTTTAATGGCACAATTGACCCTCTCTTCTAGTCCCCCTCTGCCTCTGAGATAGAAATGAGGAAAGAAATATAGATATCGAGACGCGGAGATCAGAGTCGCAATGGCGTCCAGACGCCTCGCTCCCAGAAATATGACGCATGACAAGGACGGTGCTGGTGTCTATAAAAATGGCAGGAAAAACCGGATGAAGATGCGTGGCGGTACATGTGATGTGGTACATGAACCAAAAAAAAACGACTCGAAACAAAACGACTTAGACTCCGGCACGCCTACCCCCTCCGCGCCGCCCTCAGCAGCTCCATCGTACTCGGCGACGCATGGCGAAAAGTCGGCACGGTGCGCGTCCCCGGCACATACGAGCTCCAGGGCGTCTGGGTCGCCGACTCCTCGCCGAGGGTAACACCGGGCGCGGGACTGACCCTGCGGATGCCGAGGGCGCGGCAGGCCTCGAGGCGGCGGACCTCGAAGTCGCGGGAGCGCTGGCGCTCGCGGTCGGCGCCGACGCCGCCGCGCATGCGCTCGTCGACGTCGTGGTTGGCCTCCTCCATCTTGAGGTCGTGCTCGCTCAGCCCGCGCATCTTGCGCTCCGTCTTGACGCACACCTCGTCCAGCTTGCCGGCCACGGCGGCCGGTGCGAACTCGGGCCTGCGCGGGGCGCCGCCGCTCACCGCCCGCGGGCTGGCGCTGCCGCCCCATCCGCACCGGAAGACGAGCTCGGCCCTGACGGACTTGTCCGGGGTCTGCCACACCGACACGCGGTCGCCGTCGTGCAGGGCCATCCAGTAGGTGGAGGGGCTGTCGGGCTTTTTAGGGTTGTCTGAGGGCAGGCGGACGCCGTTGATGTAGATACCCATGGTTGCCTTGGTCGAGATGTAGAAGCGGAAGGAGTCCTCGTCGGGCTCCGAGGCGCGGTTCCACGGCCGGAAGTTCTTGGCTGGATCGTAATTTTCTTTCCATAGCAGGATTCGGAAAGCAAACTTCGGGACCGTGACGTCGTCTTTGTTCGCATAGGACCGGGTGTTCTCCATTGCTCGTCCCCATGAGACCATGGATTCGGTGATCATGATGGATATCCCAGTGAGGGCGGATCCTGGCGCAGATTGGAGGCATGCAACCACTGGCCTCCCCGGATCGGACTGCATGGGCATTATGAGCATCGGCCCGGGGTCGTCCATCGTCGGGGGTGTGGCTGGAACGGTCGCGTCCGGACCGGCCGTGGAAGGTATGACACCGTACTCAACACCGTTGCGCGCGCCCTTCGAAGAACCACCGCGACGCTCACAGTTGACCGCCGGGAAATACTTCATGGCCAGATCCCACAACGGTGTTTTGCCCGGGCCAAATTCCTCATCCCTTGCCGAGGCCGCCATCTTGAACGCGTCAAGCTGCAGCTGGGTCATCTCTGGATAATCGAGGTGCCATGTCCTCCTGTCTTGGGCTGACCAGTAAGTAGATTTGTGGACCGGGTTGTCGATCTGCCGTCCGGACTGTGCCCGGATAATGGACGGCATCTGGGCGAGTAGTTCGTACTCGCTATCCTCAACGACCCTGTTGACCGAGAGCTTCGCCGAGGCATCAGATCGGATCCTCTTGAGGCCGCGTCTATCCTCTGCAAAGGGCATGTCATCCTCCTCGCTAGTGTCAAACGAAGGTTTCCGCTTGCTCGAGTTCAGATCGCCAGTCGTGTAGAAACGGAGGAGGGAGCCGGCGCCCGATTTCATATTAAGATTCTCGAGAATCGACTCGGCCCCTCCAAGGCTTTGTGACGCCACGTCGAACGTCATATTGTTGAGCTCATCGACCGACCGGCTCTGGCCAGCGGAGATTACCGAGGCACGCAACCCCCCTGATAAGGGCTGCGATTTTTGGGGTTTTTGCCTGGGGGTCAGGTGGTCTTCGGACTCAAAGCTATCCTTGATCTCCGTCTCGTTGCCGAGAATTTCTGTTGTGCCGTTTGACCCAAAGCTCCCAGGCGATAATGGTAGGTTCAGCCGATTTGGCGTAACGGCGCCGGAGCTCCTGACGGCCGAAGGGTTGACTTCGCCGAAAAGCCGTTGTGGGTGGTTATCTGGGCCGAATGTGTAGTTCTCCTTTTCAGATTCGTATCCGAGCAGGCGGTTCGCGTCAAAATCCACGTCTTCGTCGTCCGAGATTTCATCGTCACTAGGCACACGGAGTTCTCGACACTCTTCCGGATTCCGTTCCGTGTCATCCAGGCTCAACTGAGAGGCGTTGACGTGTAGTTGTTCCTCTACAATCTCCTCGAATGACTGCGCGACGGTCGTGAACGAGCCGGAAATCCATACATGGCTCTGTAGTGTTTCCACCGTGGCCCTGGTCTCAGGCTTCCGGTCGAGCATGCGACGCAAGAAGTCAATCCCTTCCTCCGAGATATCCGCCTCAAGAAGTGGTGAGATGTCTAGCGGCTTGGTCATGATCTGATGAAGAAGCTCGGAGTGGCTGGCGCCGTTCTTGGCCGGGAATGGCGGTTTCTTTGTCAGGGCATAGAAGAGAACGCCGCCCAATGACCAGATGTCAACGGCGTGGTCGTATCTCTGCCCTGTGGCGGGGCGGAGTCGGCGGTTGCGCGGGTGGCGGCGGCCACGATCGTCGTACTCGGCGTACTCGGAGTACACCTCGGGTGCACAGTAGAGAAGCGTTCCGCAGAAGGTCCGGAGAAACGTTTGTTCGTTGTCGACCATCTTAGACAGCCCAAAGTCCGTGAGCTTCACTACGAACGGATCGAGCGAGTCGACAAGGATATTGTCGGGCTTCACGTCTCGGTGGGTGATGTTCATGTCGTGTAGGTACCCGAGCGCATCTAACAGCTGCCTCGCCATGGTTTTCGTGGCGGTTTCTGACAATGGACCGTTGTCGGCGATTAACCGGCCCAGATCGCCGCCGTTTACGAATTCCATGATAATGATGAGGAGCCTGTCATCCCAGTCGAGATGTTCGATGTATTCCACAATATTTGGCTGCCAAGAAGTGAGCAAGGTTTCGACTTATCCCGCTGGGAAAGGGGCTAGGTTGGCGTACATGCTTGATCTTCCGCATGATGTTCATCTCGTTTTCTACCTTCTGGTCCAGAACGCCGTTCTTCATGAATTTCCGTTTATCGAGTTCCTTTGCCGCGAAAGGTTGGCCAGTGAGCCTCCGTGTGACTTTATGTACGGTAGCGAAGGCACCCCTGCCGATCTCGCAGATCCGGTTGTACTTGTTTGACCCGGTCCACGGCTTTGGGATTCCTTCGGCGCGGGCGCGTTTTCCTTGCTTTCCGCCCACTTGAGCTCGAAGAGCTGTAACAGCGCCATTCCCGTTCCGAGTTGGGGCGGGGAGTTGCCTTGCAACAGGGGGCTTGAAGATGTCAACCTATCTCGTCAGCACCAAGATGGTTTTTCAAAACCGGGGAGAAGGTGACGCTGCGACTTACGTGCCCTCCTGGCCCAGGCACGATCGTTTCGTTGGCATCGTAAGCGAGCTGTGCCTGGTTTGCCAGATACGCATCCAAGTTGCGCTTATAAGCCTCCTCACAAGGACCATCACGGATGGGAATTCGAACTAAAAAGGTGATGTCTCGGCCCGGTTCGTGCATGAGGATCTTGACTTTAGATCCGCTCTCCAGCGTCCTCATGGTCTCGGCCCGTGAACCATCTCTCTTTTTTAATAGGGTCTCGTCGACTACGGTCCCATTTGTTGACTTATCCTCCAACATAAGCACCGCCCATTCGTTTAGATAGATGCGGAAATGTATTTTGCTCAGCCGTCGGTGGGGGTCGTTCCGGAGGCAGATATCACAACAATTAGGGTTCCTCCCGAATGTGAAGCCAAGCGAGGGGTCCTTGACCTGTGACGAAAACCGCAGGGCTATGTGGTGCTCCCCAACGTCGGATTGGACCCCAGCAAAATTTCGTGAGCCGTCTTCTCGTGAGTAATCCACCTTGAGATCGTCCACTTCTTCCCTCCCCACCATATGTTGTGGTGTCTCGGTGGCGATCCGCCTAACTTCCTGGCGCGCGGGTTCGGAGTATGGTAGAAGGAGACATATTATGTCTGATATGTCTTCATCTGAGAAGCCAGAAGGTTGCTGGCCTAACCGCTCGGCGTCGACAACGGTCTGGGTAGCTATGTGCGGGGTCAGCCAAGGCGACGACGGCAATAACAACAAGAGAAAAAGAACAGTGGCATCGCAAAGAAACACGGCGCGCTGGGACAACACGGGCGTACCCTGGGTAGGCTGCTGCGATTCCCTGTAGGAATCCATCGGGAGGCGAGGCCGCAGTGTGACGCCCTCGTGCGAAGTAGATGGTTGCCACTCAGTGATAGCGATGTAGAGCGCGACGCTCGAGGTCCGCGGCGGCGCGCCGGCGACACTGGCGGTCGAAAGCGATCGAGTTCGGGCGACACGGCGCGTCTTTTCGCATCGGAGGCGGGAGCTTGTGGAGTCGCGGGTGCCAAGGTCGAAGCCTGTTCGGACGAAGCTGGACGCGACCAAGTACCAGAAAGCGGGTCGGTTTTCTTTTGAGGTTGAGGGGTGCGATAAACAAGACAGCGGGTCCCGGAATGAGCGAGGTGAGGTGGCCGGATAAGGTGGGTGAGGTGGGCAAACTGCGGCGACGACTGGGTAGTGAATTGGAGAGGTGAGCAATGAATGGTAAAAGGGAGATAGCAGCAGTCGTGGTGGTGGTGGTTGTGGTGGGCGGTGGTCGCTGGTTGCTAGGGGAGTAGCGAAACGGAAGCTTTACCGGTCGCCGGTCAGCGGCCGCTCAGAACAAACAGCCTTGGAGGATCTTGGTGGCTCTTTCCATGCACGTCACGCGGGAACAAAAAAGCCGTTCAGCGATCAAGAACGTGATGCGGCATTCTTGGGATCTCTCTGAGTCGACGTAAGTCACGGTTTGCAGGTGGAAAATGGGAAGATGGGACCACCAGACACGTCCATCACCAGGACGAGTCTGCCTCGAGTCTCCAAATCCCGAATTCCAGCTTTGTCAGACAGCGCTGCAGCCATGTTTGGACGGATGGGCCAGTGGCCCCTGGTTGCTCAGCACACGCGCTGCAGGAGCACGGGGTCTCCTGTCCATTCGTCTGAATCGATGCAGGGTTTTGACTGGCTGCCCCTCCCTTCGCCTCGGTAAATGCATTTATCCTTCCCGGAACTAGGCGATAAGCGTCGTAGCGTCTCTTCGCTTCCCAGGCGGACGGGTTTGGGGAAGTCTTGAACCAGGCATGCTAGGGCAAAGGAAACCCGGCTGGATCCCCGGAGCCAGTCCTTGACAGAAGGAAATATTGGTGGTGGCGGGCCTCACAAGCTCGAGATAGGCTCTCGCAGCCAGTCGGCCTGCCCATTTGTCGATTTTGTCGTCATTTGTGCGGGTCTGGCATAAGCAGAAACAGCAAAAAGCAACCAGAGGAGCGAATTGATTCCATCTGGAGGACTGGGGGACGTTGACAGGGACTCGGCATCGAGCCTAATTCGGCATCTGTTCGTCCTGAATCCGGGGGTGTTCCCAACGAGGTCGAGAGTTAGAAAATCCGAGAAGTGGGGTTGATAAGCGTATTCTCTCTTGCCAGCCTGCCAGCCTGGAAGTTGTGGACGAATGTCCTTTTTCTCAGTGTCAAGAGGAATTGGCAGACCGCAGTGGGCGCAACCCGCCCTTTCTGCCTGCATGCAGTTACCGCATGCGAGAGCTGCATTTGTATGCACTCTGTTTGTTTGTTTTCTTGGAACTACCAATCACTCGCGGGGCCCCCTTTTCTTAATCCTAGGAAAAACAAGGAAGGGAGCAAAGAGAAAATACAGACAGAGATGGGTGGGTGAATGGGCAAGGTGGGGTAAAAAGAGAAGAAATAATGGATGATGAAAGATATCTACAAAGCAGTCAGGCTTTGTAGGAACATCCTCCCCGCCTTCCTTTCTCACACCGTCGGGCGAATAAAGTGGGCGCCTGGACGGTTGGTTTTGTTCTCCAGCTCCCCACGAACTGCCATCTGATACAAACGCAGATCCGGGGCGCTCCCGTCGCAGGGGAAAGCGGAACCCGATTGTGGCACAGCGTTCGGGAACGCAAGGCCCAGATCGGTCTTGAAGATTCCTCAGAGCGACCACGCTGACTGAGAGCTCTCCCGCCATGGGAATCTTGGGGGGTTGCATGTGATAGTTAACGTACACCGCCTGATAGCAAACCATGACTGACCCCCACACCACGTTGCCTTCGGGGATGGAGGGGGCCGGTCACTCAGACACAACGGGCTGACATCAAGAAAAGAAGGTGGGATGTGACGTAACCCATCTTTTCGCTAATTCTTGTGCCTGCGTCGCTGCAGGTTCAATTCGATACACTTTGCTATTATGCATGCATGCCTCTATACTTATGAAATGAAATGCTTGGGTGTCTTCCCAACTGTAGATCAGATGTTCAGCTGAGCTGGCTATCTTGCCATCTCCTGATTTTCCTCGGAGTTGCAGATGCATAACTCATGGCTGCAGGGTCAAAGGGCCTCCCGCAAACTTTATGATTTAAGGTTGGGTACAAATGAAACTGCAAACCAACAATTTCAACACAAAAAGTGGCACGACAAGTCCTCACTGGAGTCCGACATTCCGTGCTCCACTGCAACGATGCCCAGACGGATACGCGGACACACCCACTCTGCGCCGCCACGCCAATTGTCTCATCCAGCTCGTATTGCAGCCCGGATCTCCCCGTTGCAACCGCGCGCCCAGAATCACCTCCTCGCAGGCGCTTGAAAAGTCTCAGGGAAGTCACAATACGCGGCCCTGATCACGAGAGATTGCTACAATGTGACCGAAGAGGCCACCAATTCTTAGCGCTTCCCACCGTTCGGTCCGGGGGGTCAGCGGGTCTGGGGGGTTTCAGGTCAAGCTGGCTGCCGCTCGACCAGAGGCTGTTTGCGGGAAAATAAGCAGGGCCCTGTGTGTGCTTGTGTTGATGCTTGCGTGTTCGCAGCAACATGCGGTGGGCTGTGCCATGCCGGAGGTGGCGGCGTCTCGACCACAGACGCCAGGACGATCGGAGGCCCTACCGGCTGTTCCCTGACGTGGTTCCCTTTTTTTTTTTTTTTTCAGGACAGCCAGGGTTTCAATCGCCGATAGGTGGTTAGCGTTCGAGACGTCTTCCGTCATCCAAGCATCTGGGCGCCGGGTGGCCAATCATGACTTGCGCGCAACGCCAAGCGTCGCTGACGGACATCAGTGGATCTCAATCAAAAAGCCAGCTTCGCCGGCATGACGACGAGCAAGTTGAGAAAAGAGTGCGGTGGTGGGAGGGATGTGTAGTGATAGAATACATCCAGGGCCAGAGAGGAATCCTTGCTTTGGGCTGCAACCAGCCTCCCAGCGAGTGCAGCCAAGAGGTTCGAACAGCCATGATGTATTGGAGAAGGGTGGGTGAGCATGACACGGTGGCAGATGTGCCACCGGCCGATCTGAGCACTAACGAGCGTTAGTTGATCTCAGTTGATGTGCTGTTTTGGGAACGACATGTGGAAGACCATCGAGACAATCTCTTCGTCAAGGTCTTCAAAGAGGTTCAGGAAACTGAATAATCCGGGGGTCCCGCAAGTCGCATCAAAGATCCATCGATAAATTTACTTGGACCCTTGGAAGATCTTGGTGGATCGGAGAAATAGACGAATGATTCGGAATGACATAGGTACCTTGGTTTGCCAAGTCGAGGAGGGCGAGTCGCCGGCGCAATCACTGCAGCAAGGTGCATCTCGCCATCCCCGGGAACTAATATGTACCTCGAGACCTAATCGAATAGCTCGGGATTTCGGACAGTAACTAAAGCATCTTGGCCTAGCCTTTGCCAGATAACTCAAATACGAGAGGCGCCCTGCAGCCAGCCCCGTCTCGCCTGTCCTTTTTCCGTATCTTTCTGTCCGTTCTGTCCGTTCTGTCTCTTCTGCAACCAGCCCTGCTTTTCCAGGTTCCCCTCTGACGTTGGCACACTCCAGCCGATTGGCAGGCATTCCAGGTTTCTTCAACCGATTGTAGCGGTACGTACCTCGCTGTCCCAGCACAACCCCGGAAGGCCCGGCTACCAGAAACGGAAGTCGAGACAACCTGGAACCTACGAAGTACGCAGCTCAAACCGCTCGGTACGATAACGGAAAAGGCATATTATCCAAACGATCGAGCGGAAGGGCAAGGCGTCAGAGTCGGTTTCCTTTTCTCTCTTTTCTTTCTTTTCCGTCCCCGCCACTTTTTTTGCCTTCCACATTCCTCTCGTTTTGTCGTTGTTAAAGCGTCCGTGAGTGCTTTGCTTGCTTGTTCAAAATACCTACCGGACCCGGCGGCAGGCTCCATGACGAGGGTATGCTGCCGAGACTCACCGTCGATTCGCACCATCAAGTGGGCTCCCGGGCTCTTGCGCTCGCTTCCCCAGCAAACACCGCCGCCGTCTTGGACGAGTCTGGTTTTGCCGAGAGCTAACTGACGCAATTGCAACCGAAGTAGGCCTTTGCGATCTGCTGTTCTTCAGCGACGACCCTCGTTTTCGAGAACAAAACCCCTTACATCGACGGAGCCAGACCAAAACCTAGCTTCGGTCTTTGTCCCGAATCTCCCGCATCTTCAGACGACCTAGTCCGGATGGAGCGGCTGGCGGCGCAAGAGTGACGGGCTTGAAAATCGGGTCTTTGCCGCAGACCAAAGAGCTTGGATGACGAGTCTTCTGACGTCTGGACCAACTGAAACCTGCGGTGCCTTTGCCTCCACCTCAACCTCTTCCTTTTCGCATACTTCTCTGGCAGACCAACTGTTTTGTATATGTCCAGTGCTGTCTAGCTGTCCATACCTGTAACTGTGCAGGACGGCATCACCCCTCAGCACCAAGCACCACGCACCGTGCTTCTTGCCAAGTCGCCCAATTTCTGGACGGAGCACCGGAACCCCACCATGGGTCGGAATCGAGGTATGTGGCATTTCCGTCCCATCAACACCTGGATTGCAGGTCAGCAGGCGCTGGCACGCAGAGTCCCGCTACCGGGGCAATCAACCCATCGTGTTTGCAGAGGCTGTGTGTGTCTGCATCATCAACACGAGGCAGAAATATTCCGGTGAATGATAAGCGTGCGCCCGTGCTGGGACCATGCAATAATCCTAGCCGATTTGCTGACAACCGCCGCGTCATAAAGTCCTCTCATTTATTGCCCAGTTCTCGGCACCTCATCGGGATTCAAAGTCCCCGACTCCTGCATCATCGCCCAAAAGCAGCTCCTTCCACAATCGTTCGTTTTCAAAACAATCACAGCCACACGTGCGCACCGATTCCACGGTTTCCGCTCCGGCCAGCACACAGCGAGATCCCGCCAGTGACCCGCCGTCGGCTTCATCAGCCGCAACTACACCACCATCCGACGACGCCGAGCATGCCGCCTCGCCGACCTCAGTAAATAATTCCACATCATCAAGTCCCACCAGGAGGTCAAGGAGAGGGTCGCGACCCTTGTCTATGGTCCAGACCTACCAACCACCCGTCATGGCTGTCAACGAGCAAACTCTCCCCGAGTTGCAGCCCATCTTCACACTGTTAAATAGCCACTCGAACAAATTGTACCAGGAGGGCTACTTCTTGAAACTAGAAGACCAGGACATCCGTAGGCAATAATTCTGCACCTATCACCATCGCTGTTACTAATTTGGTTATAGGAGGGAACCCGAACTCCGATCGGACATGGACCGAATGCTTTGCTCAATTAGTGGGCACGGTGTTGTCGCTCTGGGATGCCGCTGAACTTGATGCAGCGGGAGAGGACGGGGAAGTGCTGCCAAAGTTCATCAACCTAACCGATGCATCCATCAAAATGGTAGCGTGGCTTTATTCTCCAAGTCGGATTAGTGCACTGGGTGTCTGACTAGGCTTACAGATCGAAGCTCTTCCAACAAAGACCAATGACGAACAGCCGCTCCAAAACATCCTGAGCATAAGCACTGCCGGTCGCAACCGATACCTGCTTCACTTCAACTCCCACCATTCACTAATCCAATGGACCTCGGGGATACGGCTCGCCATGTATGAGCATTCCACACTCCAGGAAGCCTACACCGGCGCCTTGGTCGCGGGCAAGGGGAAAACTCTGAACAACATCAACATCATCATGGAACGGGCGAGGCAGCCGATCCAAGAATGGGTGCGTGTGAGATTTGGTGCAGGTGTTCCGTGGAAACGGTGTTACTGTGTCATTGAACCTCCGAGTGAAAAGGAATATCAAAAGGCTCAAAAGGAACACAAGAAGCGCTCTCCCTATGACAGGTCTCACGGTCCTGTGCTAAAGGGTGAAGTCCGGTTTTTCGACACCAAGAAGGAAGCCGACAAAAAGAAGAAGAACCAGCGGCCGATCGCGTCCATTACAGATGCCTACTCTGCCTACGCCATCTACCCACAGGCGAAGGAGCTAATTGACTCGTCAACACTCTTGAAGGTAGAGGGCAACATAACCATCCACACGGAACCGGTATCGGCCACCGAGGGATTTGTCTTCGTTATGCCCGAGACCCCCCCTGCCGTCTCCGGTTTCGAGGTCCTCCTCCGCTTCCTGTTTCCGATATGGGACACCTTTGCCTTGTATGGCCGGCCGGGCCGGTTGGTGGCGAGCACCCTTGACACACGCTCACTGATGTTTGCCATGCCAAAGAACCGAAGATATGGCTATCTCGAGCTTTTGGATGTGACCGGATTGATACACACCGAATCGAGTGCCACCTGGTCGGAACGAGAGTGGCGGAAGAGGCTCAAGGACCTGACGAGCCAGCGGATGTCCGCTATGGAAGATGCAGCTGGGGGCGATAGCCGGAGCACGAGCCGGCACAGCAAGCGGTTGAGTTACGGGAACCAAAACTCGGCAGCCCGACCGAAAGTAGGCTTTGCGGACGATGGCGGCTCCGCCCGATCATCCCGCTCCATGTCGGTGACGCGTCCGGGTATGCGCAACGACTCGGCTCCTCCTGATCCGAATCGGGAGCGGGCACCGTCAGCAATGGCCGGACATTCTAGGCACTCCCGCCACATCTCCGATACACAACTTGGCGACGTCCCTCCTAGCCTCAGCCCCGACAGCTCTCCGACGGGCCAGCCCGTCCTACGCAACGGACCTGACCGTGTCCGAGCCTTTGCCACCGACTTGGCCTCCACGCCCGAGAGGATGAGTTCCGAGGACGATAGCCCGATAAGAGGGCCAACAGCCGGTAATTTTGAGGGCATGAAGCCCATGCAGACCCCCGAACCAGTCCAGGCGCCTCCGGCGTTTGCCCATGGCGCAGGTTCCCGCCCGCAGCAGAAGCCCACCCCATCCCCAGAGATGCGCCGAGCGACCAACCGTTTGTCAAACACTACCCTGTCCCAGCTCGCCAGGGCTTCCGGCCTCGGCCCCGAGGCTTTTTCGGATGACCGCAATGAACTGCATTACGGAAGCGAGAGTGCTGGTCCTGGACCAAATATCACCGACCGACGAGGTCTAGCGGTACAGCCACAAACCAGCGCCAACGCCATGGGGATGAATGCTAATGTCAATGGATCTCGTGAAGTTCTAACGTCCCCCACCACTGCCTATCCACTCCGCGACGCTTCCGCGCCACCACCGCCGCTTCGGGATCCGGCCCGGAAACGCTCAAACTCACCCCTCAGGGGCCCACCATCAAACCCTGTTGGTAATCCTTCCCCATCCTTCCGCCCTGGCCCCCCGGGCGGTCGCCGCACCCCGCCCCCCGGTCCGAACCAACACCAGCCATTCTCTCCCCCCGAGGGTTCGCCGCCCATCAACCGGAAGCCTCTTCCCGTGAGGACAACCAGTCTATCCCGTGACCGCCACGACGCGGTCTCTCCTATCTCCTCCCAGCCGTCCCCCAGGTTCCCGCCTCCCGCGTCCGGAGCCCAATTTAGGCCGATGAACGACTTCACCCCCCCGGTTCCGGTCAACACCCGGTACCACCAAAATGGCCAGAGGACCGCAGGCGACCGCCAAGACGACGCGTCTTCCACTGCCAGCCCGGACTATGCAAGCACCCGCCGCTCTATCGATACCCAAGAGTCCATTGATCGGCCCCGTGCTGGTGTGCTGAAGGTCGTTGGTGATGGAGGCGATGGCTCGGGAAAGGCCGCCGCGGATCAGGAATATGACATTCCCGAGATCAATTTTGGGCGAACACTCAACTACAGCGCGCCCATTCTCCCACGCGACAAGCCATCTCCTAAGGAGACCCGTCCCTCTCCTTCTACATCCGATCGAAAGTCGCCTGGTCTCGTAGGCCCATTTGCCTCCACCAACCCACAATCCGAAGAGAATGTTCGCCGGAGTGTTGTCTGGCCGGGTCCTTCTGCCGGAACGTCGTCAGACAACCTCGCATCACTCCAACAGTCTCTTCAACCACGAACGTCGCCTGTTCCCCAATACGCACACCAACGCGTCCCGTCAACGAATACCCTGACTGACTACAAAGCTTCACATTCTCGACACAGCTCGGCCGACTTGCTCTCTTCTGGGCGCCCACTTAGCCAATCGCACTCGCGGCATAGTTCGATGGAATTGCTGTCCAGCGGGCGACCGGCCAGCCGTGGTGCGGCGGCGGCCATGTCCGGGGGCGAGTCGCACAAGCGATCTGGCAGTCGAGGGGGTCTCCTGCACTCGCGTAACAGCTCTGCCGACCTTCTCGCCTCCGGACGCCCTAACAGTCAAGGGACCGCAGCTGCCCTGTCAGCGGGCGAGCTGTCTTCGTCTCTCTCGGCGCGAGAGCAAGAGCATGTTGCACGGGTCACAGGCAGTCCCTTAATCGCCTTTGCCGGTAGTAAGGGACCGTCGCAAACGCAAGCCGGTCTCGTTGGGGCGATCGACGCCAGAGAACGCGAGAGAGCGCAAATGAAGCAGGGGTTCGGTGGGCACGCAGTTGCGCAAGCCATCGACCAAAGACACCGGGAGCAGAGCCATGCCCAGCGAGCGGCACAGGCTGCGTACGCTCAACAACAGGCGCAGTTTGCCGCCCAGCAGGGCCTAGCCCGCCCACAAACACCTGGCAATATGAACATGATGATGGGGGGTCCTATGTCCCCCTCCTACGGCCCGCAGGGCCAGCCCCGGCCCCAGACCCCGGGCAGCATGATGGGCGGCCCCATGTCACCTTACGGCCCTCAGGGTCAACCCCGCCCTCAAACCCCCGGCAGCATGATGATGGGCGGTGGTATGCAGCCTCGCCCGCAAACGCCGGGGACCAGAAACATGATGATGGATGGCGGCGCTCCGTCGCCATATGGCCCTAACATGGCCGGCATGAACACCCGCAACATGAGCCCCGGCCCTAACATGATGAGCCCCCCGGGGCGCTACGGGCAGGGGCCACCACAACAGCGGCCTCCGATGGGGCCTCACGGGGCGTCATACGGCGGTGGTTCTCCGGGACAGGGCGGGTGGCATGGGGGCAACATGCCGCCTCGACAGGGTCCCCAGGGGCCCATGATGCCGTCGCCTAACATGGGCTTCGGCATGCAAGGAGGGCGTCCACAGTCACCGGCGTACCAACTGCCGCCGCAAAATCAATATGCGCCCCCCGGAACGCCTGGGGGTCCCCGACCAGGAACCCCGGGGACGCCAGGCCGAATGCAGTACCATGGCCAGGCCTTTTAGAAGGGGGCCAAGGTCAAGGATCTAAAAGAGAAGTTCGAATTTGTCTCTGAGAATATGGATGGGTGGGAAACTATGAAGCAGGAGCTGGATGCTAAAATGGGATCGAATATAAGGGACGAGCGTACGCGGTGGTGATGTTGATGCGGAATAGGGGGGGCTGGCTTTTCTTCCTGTCTTGGGGCAGGTCTGGATAGATGGTGATGGAGTTGAGGCTTTGACTTAGACCACTGCTCGAGCGGCATTTCCTTGAGGTTACGTTGGAAGCTTTGCGGGGCTGGATATGTCCCGGATATCTTTGAATTGTGTTTTGTTTGATCTTAGATGTGCTCGGTAGATGAGCCGGCGATATCAGACTGTCGGCACGGGGTTTTCTGAATCTTGTTTTATATTGTAACTACCTACAAGCTGCGCTTTTGTTGTTTTGTGTTTTAGATTGGTTGCATAGTTGGCCGAGGATCTAGCATAGCATAGCAAATTCAGCGTGGCGGGGGTTCTGGTGATGTTATAAGTCTATTTTCCCAACCTGAGCTCTCTTCGGTTTTCTACACAGTATCTCATTCAAAGCTTGAGCTTAATGAGGTGGCGAAGCTCGAGTCATTCGTCACAAGAATGAATCCACATCACAGGCCAACGAACCCGAACCCACCCCATTGGCAGCGGACTCTCCGGGCCCCGGGGTCGGACGATAAGACACCAAGCACCCAATCCACTGCCTACCCAGCCAAGCTCCCCCTCTATCTGCCCAATACATTCAACAAACTCACAAAGCACTTCCGACAACCCTTTTTCGAATGCTGTCCGCCAGCGCTACGGCCCATCAGGTCGCGCGCGCGCCGCTGGAATGAGAAGATTAGCTGTCCGATTGCCAACCCAAGCTTCACATGCACGATTGCGGCGAACGATCGCCGTCTCGCCCCATGTCTCGTCCCCTCGATCGACGGCGTCATGGTGCAGCCGCCCACGATGGCCGAAAGACGAGGTGCTGCCGCCGCAGAAACGCCAGATATCCCTGACAACGCCGTTGTCACAAGACCTGTCATCATCAATCCCACCCACGGAGTCGTCATCACTAGTCCCGCCCACAGACCCATCACCGGTCACGTACCCACCCCTGGATGAAGAGGGCAAACTCGACCCGTCCGTCTTCTCGAACCTCCCCTTCCGCTTCGACACCGGCATCGCCCTCTTTGCGAAGCGCACCCCGCGCCCGTTTCCCCCGCCGTATCTCTCCCCGCCGTCGGGTTCGTTCAGCGACCCGCTCAGCACACACGACCGGAGCAGGGACCGACGCAGGGCGTATGTCGATGGCCACCTGATACAGGGGTATACCAACGGCGATGACGCCGTGTTCGCGAGCGACTACTTCATCTGCGCTAATGACGGCGTGGGCGCGTGGAGTGCGCGACCGAGGGGCCATGCTGGGTAACTAAACCCCCTCGTGCATATCACTCACCTGCTGGGTCGGTAGGGTGTTACGGGACGCACCGTGCTGACCGGCAACCAATTCACAGGCTATGGGCGCGGCTAATCCTCCACTTCTGGGCAACCGCCGTGTTCGAAGACGCCGCCCGCCAGGGTGCCTCTTACCGGCCCGACCCGGTCGGCGACCTGCAGCGCGCATACGAGCAGACCATTGAGGCGACGGGCCCGCCCAACGACTGGCAGGGCACGACGACAGTAGCCGGCGCGCAGCTGCACTACCGCCGCGTCACCAAATTCCCAACCCCCAACAACAACCCCGCCAACGACCCAGACCCAAACGAACAGCGCAACATCGACACCGACGCCGACGCGTTCGAACCCATCCTCCACGTCACGAACCTCGGGGACTCCCAAGTAATGGTCATCCGCCCCTCCACACGACAAACGGTGTACAAATCCACAGAACAGTGGCACTGGTTTGACTGCCCGCGGCAGCTGGGCACCAACAGCCCGGACACGCCGCGCGGGAGCGCCGTCGTCGATGAGGTCGCCCTGCGCGAGGGCGACGTCGTCCTCGCCATGTCGGATGGGGTCATTGATAACCTATGGGCGCATGAGATTGTGGCGACGGTGTGTGATGCGCTGGAGAGGTGGAGGGCTGGTGGGGGGCACAGCGCGCCGTCCGCTGCTGGTGCTGGTGGGGATGGGGCTGTTGCGACGCCGGGGGTGGGGTTGCCTGGTGATGGTGATGATAGTGGTATGGGTTTCGTGGCTGAGGAGTTGAAGGAGGCGGCAAGGGTCATTGCGGTGGATCCGTTTGCTGAGAGCCCCTTTATGGAACATGCCATTGAGGAGGGGCTGGCTAGTGGCGGCGGTGAGTAACAGTGGTCCTTTGGTTTTGATCATTGTTGGTTTTGGGGACTCGGGCTAACTGACGCAGGCAAACTGGACGATATTAGCGTCGTGGCTGCGATTTGTAAGAGGAATGGCTCGGGGTAAACGAACACAAGGAGAGGATGGTGGGGAGGTGTTAATGGCCGGTCACCTAAGTAATATGGTAAGTATCGTTGTGCTGGGCGTTGGGGTGGAGGGTAGAATGGGACTAACTAAACGGTTCCCTACTTGGCTTGGGGATAATCAGGGATATTCACAGATACTGCCGTTTCTTAATTTGGTTTTGCTACACTGCATGATGTTGGCTACCTATGGTACCTGAACAATCAATCATATCTTGGAAATGGGAGCCAGGTGCTTGCTTGCAATAGTTCCGAGGGACTGATTACTAGAACTTAGGAGTTTATACTTTTGTTCAATGGCATGCTCTTCTGATCTTCTGATCTCGAAGCTAACGATCACGTAACTTTAACCGCGTTGCAATGGAATGCCTGCATTGAAAACGGCACCCTCTGGCCAAAAAAGCCGAACTTGAAAGGAGAGCCAAGGAGGCAAAAACCCGCAAAAGAAATAGGAAAGAAAGCTAAGAAGATAGAAAGAGATAAGGAAAAAAGGGTAAAGTAAACCGAGAAGAAATTAAAGAAAAGAATGCCAGCAAAATAAAAACTACCTCTAGACTTTGGGCTTTCGCCGGCATCTACAAGCATGGACACTTGGAGTTCGGTTTATTTTGTCCATAGGGGGAACGGGTCGACAGCCCGTTAGGGTGGTGGGGCGAGCGGCTGGACGAAAGCTTGGCCTGCGGGAGCTGCAGCATTGGTGGGGCATGCCTTCTGGAATTTTTTCGGCTTCTCAACAACACCGTGAGAGGTCACCGATCTTCTCATCACCACCCAAAACACCCATTCATTTCCGCCGACAAAAACTCCACCATTATCCCACCACAAAACCCCGGAATCTAAAGCGCAACCAAAACTCATTCACCTCTCCCCAAACCCCCCAACCAGCTCAACCCGGCCTTAACGGCCCCCGCCTGCCTTCAAAATGGGCAAGCGCACCAAGCAGTACAAGAAGCTCATGCGCTCCTTTGAGCAGCTCGGCTTCCGCCAGCCCTACCAGCTGCTCATGACCAGCGACGTCGTCCTCGACACCACCAAGCTCGACTTGGTCAGCCTGTTTGAGAAGACGCTGTCGACGAAGGGGGTGAAGCCCATGATTACGCAGTGCTGTATTGTACGTTTTTTTGAACGCCTTGTGGGGTTTGTTTGGTTATGATAGGGTGCTGATATGCTGTGACAGAGGGCGCTGTATGCAAAGAATGTGGGGCCGAATCGGGATCAGAATGTCGCTGCTGCTATTGAGCGGGCAAAGACGTTTGAGAGACGGCGGTGCGGCCATCTAGTGGACCAGGACGCGCTGCCGGAGCGGGAGTGTATGCTCTCGGTTGTGGATCCGAAGGGGAAGGGGGAGAACAAGTTTCGATATGTGGTGGTGACGCAGGATGAGTTGCTGGTATGTTTTGTTTATCTTTCCTGGATTTTCTTTTGTTGTTGATCCGTGGCTGACATTGGGGGTTGTAGCGGGATAGGTTACGGTCGGTGGTGCCCACGCCGCTCATGTATGTGCGGAGGAGTGTCATGGCAAGTTTGGAGCTGTTTGCATGCATTTGGTAGCTGTGACTAACGAGTCCGCCAGATCCTGGAGCCCATGTCTTCATCGTCGGCACGGGTCAGGGAACGGGAAGAACGTGTCAAGTACGTCCTCCCTTGCAACTAACTATTTTCAGGCGGGAACACAACTAACAAGCGGCACAGGTTTTTGGAGGGCATCGTGAGGCAGCCCCGGAAGAGAAAGAGGGGTGAAGACGAATCTGGTGAAGAGCAATCCGGCAGTGAAGACGAGGGTGAGGGTGGTCGTGCCGAAGGTGCCGCCCGCCCCAGGGAAATCGGTGGGGAGGAAAAGCAAAAGAAGAAGAAGAAGCAGTACGGCCGCAAAGAACCTAACCCACTAGCGGTCAAGAAGGCGAAGAAGGCGTCAGAGGCAGACCAAAAGCCCAGGAAACCGGCGATGCCCGCAGAAGAGGCCCCGACAGAGACGAAAGCCAAGAGGAAGAGACGCAAGAAAGCCAGCAGTGCTCAGGGTAGTGGTGGGGGTGGTGGCGAGGGCGGTGATACTGAACAAGCGGTACAGGCGGCGCCAGCCTCGGTTGAGGCTGCGGAAGCGTGAGCTTGCGATGGAAATCGAGATATCCCGGCGCTATGGGCGACATAGGCCATGTTTTAACTCCTGCAGTGCACCGGACCAAAAGGATTCATTTGTAATAAAACTAGCTTTATGATTTCTATGGCAGGAGGCTGTTTACACCCAAATTCTTAGAAAACCTTGTCTTCATTGTCTTTAGTGCCGCCTCTTTCATGCTCACACCTGTGGACCCGGAGCTGATGCCGTTGGAAGCTGGGCACCGACCCCCACCTCCGGCCACTGTGGGTCGCAATTGTGTTCCATATCGGGCATGCCAAGCAGCACCCCCCTGGAATTCCCCAACGGCGACAGTAACAATCGGTTACGAAAGTGTATCTTTTTTAAGATGAGATATGTAACGCAAGCCGAACGGGTTATTGCACTTCATTCCGGTGATGAGCATATCACGTATTTCGAAGATGCTGATATTCCCTTCAGTCAGCAGGAGAAACAGCAGGATTGTGCCTTAAGAGACCCCTGTCTTGCTGGCGTGGCCGCGTGTTTGATAAGCTGCGAGGGGCCACTAAAACCAGGGAGAGACTCCAAGCCAGGGGGAATCACCCGCTCGCTCACGTCCACTCTTTGAAACAAAACCACCGCTTTGCTTTGGCAAGCACTGATCGTTCTGCCGCCCGGCCCCGCGTCTTTCCCGATCAGCTCTCTGCCACAACGCTCGGCATCCATCTCGAGTAAAAAAGAACGAATTAGCTATGCCGGGCGTTGACGGGGCCTCGGCCGGCAGTGACCAACCCCCCACTACGAATACTTCGATTGCGACTAAACATGTCCCGCGCGCCCCGGCGCCCGCCATGAGCCCGAAGCCAGAGCCCAAACCCGCTGTCAACATGACCGTCGAGTACGACGACTTCGGTCTCCCGATACGGAAGTACACGCCGCCCACCAACAGGGAGGAGACGTCGGGCACCACTGAGGGGCCTCGCCCGACAACAAAGGCCGACACCGGAAACGATGGGAAGCAAGTCGCGAAGCCCGCCGGAGGAGCGCCCAGTAGTAGGGAATTGGGAGATACAAGGAAAGAAGCGGAGGCGGGCAGTGACAAAAACCCAAAAGATGCCGCCTCCCGCAACGACAATGAGACTGCGGGTGCATCTCGGGTATCTGCGGCTATGCCCCCGGGAGAGCGTACCGTCACAGAGAAAACCAGCCCATCACCACCGCAGGGTCAAGGGCAACCTGTGAATACCACACCGGGCGATGCCAACCCACAACCGCAACCCGCGGCGGCCCCCGAGGTCGACGCCAAGCCTGGGAAACTCGAAGACCAGGCCGTTTCTGAAGCCAAGAAATCAGAGCCAGTAACGGCCGACCAAAAGCAGGATGCGAGCAAAAGGATGAGCGCAGCGGGCGGCGTGTCCGAGTTTTCGCACCAGCAGCTCACCTCGAACGAGCCCGAAAAGAAAGAAGACGAGGCCGATGAGTGGCAGACCATGCCCGCATATGCCCCATACGACATTTACGATGATGACAACAAGTTGATCGCAAAGGAGTATGTTGAGGATGAAGATGAAACATATGGCTATTCCGGACTTGGAGGCGCTGGGAAGGGGTACACAAAGGTGCTGCTGGACGACGATGCCGAGTCTGCGACTAGCATGGACGAGCACACCCAATATCTATTCAAGGATGCAGGCGGCGGTACAAGTACGGGCGTGATGGACGACGACGACACGCAGCGTGACGCCGTGAGCCAGCTACAGGCGACCAAGGAGCTCCTGACTGAGGGGCAGAGGGTCGCCTACGTGGGCCTGACGAGACTAGAACTGTCGTCCATGCTAAAGGACGCCGAAGCGCTCGTCCAATCGGCCAAATCCAAGAAGCAAGTGACGGTAGCGGCCGAGAACATGAAAATGTGGAGCCAGAAGATGATGATCAGGCTCTATTCCCACATGGACATCAGCGCCGCCGAGCAGGTCATGATTGAGCAGCTGAGTTCGCATGGCGTGATGCCCCAGGATCTCACTCCCGTCTTGATGGCGAACGCCCGTGTGCGAAACCCTATGGCTGCCGAGAAGGACGCAAGGTCGTCCGTTTCCAGTCCAAGGCCGTCTCGGCCTTCTTCTGTCATGAGTCCAGCCCCGGAGCAAGCTGCCGAACCGCCACCGCCCTACTCGGCAGACGACGACGTGGAGCTCACGGCCCCAGTGAGGACGCCGTCGCAATTACCCACCACGCAGAAGATCGATATAGACATCCGCTGGACCGTTTTGTGTGATCTGTTTCTGGTGCTCATCGCGGATTCCATCTATGATGCAAGGTCGAGGTTGTTGCTGGAGAAAGTCGCCAATGATCTAGAGATAACTTGGCTTGACATCTGCCGGTTTGAAAAGAAAGTTACGGACGCATTAGAGATGCAGGCAAACGCCGAGACGGAGAATTGGAACGAGGACGAACATATGGAAAACCGTCGGAAGCTGGCTCTCAAGAGACGCTACCTCATGATGGGGCTCGCCACAGTGGGTGGCGGATTGGTGATCGGTCTCTCTGCCGGCTTGCTCGCTCCCGTAATTGGCCTCGGCCTAGCGGCCGGTTTTACAACAATAGGCGTCGGTGGCACCGGTGGTTTCCTTGCGGGTGCTGGAGGCGCCGCTATCATCACCTCGAGCGCGGCAGCGTCAGGTGGCATCATCGGCGTCCGAGCCGCCAACAGGCGGACAGGTTCCGTCAAAACCTTCGAGTACCGGCCACTGCACAACAACAAACGTGTGAACCTAATTGTTACCGTATCGGGATGGATGACAGGCAAGGTCGACGACGTTCGCCTGCCTTTCAGCACAGTCGACCCAGTCATGGGTGACATCTACTCGGTGCTCTGGGAGCCCGAAATGCTTACTAGTATGGGAGACACCATCAACATTCTTGCGACTGAGGTGAGCCCCTAATTTGTAGTCGAGAAACAACCATAGCAGCTGACCATTGTCTAACCGTCATTAGGCTCTCACGCAAGGCCTTCAACAGGTCCTGGGGAACACTATTCTCATCACCTTGATGGCGGCACTTCAGGTGCCCGTCGTACTCACCAAACTCTCCTATCTAATTGACAACCCCTGGGCCGTCTCCCTCGACCGTGCCACCATGGCCGGTTTGATTTTGGCAGACTCGCTCATCGACCGCAACCTGGGCACTCGACCAGTCACCCTTGTTGGGTACTCGCTCGGCAGCCGGGTCATCTTCTCCTGCCTCCAGGAACTAGCTAAAAAGGGCGCTTTTGGTCTTGTCCAGAACGTTTATCTTTTCGGCAGCCCTGTCGTTGTCAAGAGGGACGAGTACCTGCGCGCCCGCGCTGTGGTGTCTGGGCGGTTCGTCAACGGCTACAACCGCAGCGACTGGATCCTCGGGTACCTGTTCCGTTTGACCAACGGCGGTATAAGACGCGTCGCTGGCTTGGCTCCCATTGAAGATGTTCCCGGAATCGAGAACATGGATGTCTCCGAGTTTGTCGTCGGGCACATGAATTACCGAACGGCCATGCCACGTCTCATGCGGGAGTGCGGCTGGCTAGTCGAAAGTGATGAGTTCACAGAAATGGAAGACCCCGACCCGGATAACTACGAGGAGCGGCAGCGCGAGTTGATCAGCGAGATCGAAGAGGCACGCCGAGAGCTAGAGAATGAAGGGAAGGGGACCAAGGGTGGCGCGTTCGGCTTCTTCAAGCGGAAAAAGGCGCCACAAAAACAAGAGTGGGAACTGTACGAGGAATCAAAGGCCGGCGCTGGTAGTAAAACGGAGGACAAGGAGGGGAACAACCACGGCGTACTGTTCGACGTCGACGCCATCCGCGCCGAGATCGCCAAGGAAAACAACAACCGAAAGGACGGAGACATCGACGAGGAGCTGCTCCAGGTGCGCGAAATTAAGAGCACCCTCCTCGCCCATCAAACTCGACCTGAGCTCCAGCGCAACTCTCTCCTCGCTCGCAAAATCCATAC